CCCCGCACAGGCAGGGCTGCCTGGACCCCTCCCCACCCAGCAGCACACACTTACATGACACAGCCCAGAGACCACACATCTGACTCTGGCCCATGGCCCTGCCTCAGCAGCACTTCTGGGGCCAGGTAGTTGGGGGTCCCACATATTGTCCTGTGGGACAGAGCACCCAGTCAGTGCATGCTCTGTATACCCTTGCAGACAGCCTCCCCCCCCTCCAAGCCCTGGGATTTAGCTTGCAGCTTGTCCTCCCCCCTCCATTTTGCTTTTTGGCTCAAAGCCCCCCCCCATCTACAAGCAGCCCCATACAGACTCCACCCCTCTCCAGCTCCCATGGGTCAGGAGCAGCTGCTCCTGGGGAGCCATTGGGAAGAGCTTGTCCTAGATCCAGGGAGGAACAGAGCCTTTGTGTCCCAGCACAGCCAGCAGGGCGGCTGGACAGGCACAATAGGGATAGTCACCACATTGTTCTCCCTGACGACTGCAAGCTCACTCCTCGAGGAGCCACAAAGCCCCCAGCCCCCTCGCCTTGCCTGCAGCTGGGACAGGAATCACTCCCCCACCCCGGGAAGGGGCCCTAAGGCTTTCCATCCCCAGGCCAGGAGGGACCACTCATCCCTCCACCCTCCCAGGAATCCACAAGAGGAAGAGTGAAACTTTAGAGGGCTCTGGAATAGGGAAACCTCAAACTTACTTTTTCTTCTGGTCAGAGATATCCTGGCAAGCAGCTAGGCCAAAGTCACCCACTTTCAGCTCCATGTTTTCATTGATGAAGAAGTTGCCTGTAAGTCAAGGGCAACGCATCACCAGAAGTCCCTCTGGGGCAGCTCGCTCCCCACATGGCACCCTGCCCTGACCACAGCACTCACCAAGCTTGAGGTCTCTGTGCAGGATGCCCTTGAGGTGAAGGTATTTCAAGCCTGAGATGATCTGTTTGAGGTAATAGCGCACTTCAGGCTCCAGCAGAGTATGGCGGGCCTTCCAGATGTGGGCCAGGGACTGCAGAGGGAGGGAAGGCAGCTTGGTGATGGGAGGCAGGGAGAACAGGCAGCTCTGCTGACTAGGCATGGGGCAGGCACAGTCAAAGCCAGTTCTTCCAGAAGTTGCACATCCACAAGTAATCCCTCTTCCACAGCCACAACCTCAGCAAACTCCGCACACAAGGTTGAGGTTTAGCTCAGCAGAGCCAGGGGAACCACTGGATTTATGGTGGCCCCCCCAGGAGCTACGGCCTGCCAACATGAGCAGGCAGCACAAGTAGGATAGGCAGTCTGCAGTGACCCCAGTGCCAAGTGAAACCACATGGCTTACGGCTGAGCTCAGAGGGTATGACAGAGCAGGCAGCCCAGGAGAAGAGTGCTTACAAAGCACCTCAGATAAGGCCTGCTCCAACCAGCTACAGCTCTGTTTAGGAGATCCTTTAACAAGGAGGCCACATCAGTGCTCACCTTCCTACTGCAGTGCTCCAGGAAAATGTAGATGCTCTCTGCATCCTCAAAGTAGTGGGAGAACTTGACGATGTGCTTATGGTGCAAGTCCCGATGCAGCTCAATCTCACTGGTGATCTGAAAGGCAGCAGCAGTACCAGGTGAGAGCAGGGCTCCCTCTGTGCCCCACTAGCCCAGCACCTCACTGTCCCCACAGCACTCACCTTCTCCCGCTGGTGGGGTTTAGCCACCCGGCTGTGAGGAATGACCTTCACAGCATAGGTTTTGTTGCTGGAGAGGTCTGTCATTTCATAGCATCGTGCAAACCCACCCTGCAAGGGAAGAGGTGGTTATGGATGGGTGAGACAGCTCTTTGCCCACATCTGCTTACAAGCCGCCGCCTCCTCCTCCATTCCCTTGCAGCATAGCCCAGCAAGCGTCACACGCTGTCTCCTGCTGCATCGCCCACTAAGATCTGAACTATGATGCTCTCAACCAGGGATTTTCTTCACCCAGTTCCTGTAAAGCCTCCAGGACGTTTTCCCTCCCACCATGGCCAGACTCCGCAGCTTCCCACATCACGGATCAACCTGGAAAGTCCTGCGCAGGGCAGGGAGCCGGGAGACCAGAGGCCACCGAGAAGCAGCCCCATGGAGACAGGTTTTT